GTTTTTTGGTTAAATTCAAACTGCAGGTTTCAGTTCTAACATTTGCTTCATATTTTTTTACACATTGTCTCACATTTTCCGTTGAAGGCTACCTGGCCAGGACCTGCTGCAGCACAAATAAAAATAATTAGTAAAACGCCATGATGCTCCCTCTTCCGAGCTCCACAGTGAGAATGAAACTCTGTATTTGTTTTATGGGACTTAGGCTCAGCCGTCTAAAAGATCAGGATTTTTTTTCTCTGTTCTCTCAAATTTTCATGTTTACGTTTTTTTCTTGTAGAGAAAATGTTTCATCCTTGGTTTGCTCTCATTGATCAGTCCCGATCGCTCAGACATGAACTTCCACTGGAACCTTTGATGCTCTGACATGTCAGATTCTTGGAGGCTTCTGTCAGCATCTTGCTTCCAGCTTTCACGGTAAACCTCTTAAAGCCAAACCTGAACAAGTTGACATCGTTTTTAAACATCTTTCACTTTTGAACTATTTTCTATTGAATTAAATATTTGATTTCATAATCTTTAAGTTCTCTTTAAATCTCTGAAACTGAATGTCTGATGTTTAATCTTCATTAAAGTGACACTTAACTGTAGACACTTTAAGAGGCTACAAATATAGATTGTCCTAATTCAGTATTTTGATCTATGAAAGGAGTGAAGTGATGGAGGTAAAGTTAGAAAAGCTGTTTCTCTATTTCTATATCCTTCCTCTGTGGTCGGTGCAGCGAGATGTGCAGCTCTGCTGGCTGCAGGGCCTATTTATAGTCTCCGTCTCTGCTGGGTTTGTAGTTGTTCTTTTGCAGCGACTCTGGGCTTTCAGGTTGATTGAGGAAGTCCGTAAGAGAGTTGGAACGTCGACACCTCGGACCAACAGACAGACAGGAAGAGAGAGACATACAGCTGGTGAGACAGGGTCCAGAGAGGAAAAGGTCCAGTCTAAGGAGGGCTGAGTGCAGGATGGACATGAGAGGAGACGACAAAACTTTCCTGGACACGATTAACACAAAATAAGGGATTAAATTATTTCACAGGACACAGGAGGACCCCTTTTTGTTTCTACACGGACTCCAACAGAGACGCCAGAAGGAAGGGATCTGCCTCTGAAACGTGTCGGAGCTCAGGATTATGGTGGTGCATGCTCCGACTGAGGATCTGAAGGACGAGCAAAATGCTGAAATGTAAAGTTAGACGTTTCTGCTGCTGCCTGAGGTTCACCTCACTGCTGCTTCTGCTCCAGGTCAGTCTGCT